AAATGAGGTATTGCAGTTTGGCTTGCTGAGGCTTTCTGTCACCAAGTCTGGAAGTTGGCTTGATAAATGCCTGTGTGCTTAACCAGGAAGAGCTGAACGATGGGATCCACACAGGCTGGTTTTGGATCCACAGTCAACATCATAACGTGATGTGCTGGGCAGTGCACAACTGAATTTCACACCTAGTGCCAGTCCCGTGGTTTTGCAGCCAAAACCACACACTCCCATTAAATTCTTCCCAAAACGTACAGACGTTGTGTTTTGTTTAGCCCACACAGCTCTGTTTGCTAGACTGAGCTTCAAATTAGAAGTTGCACTGAAGGTGCAAAAAGGAAGTTTATACCAACTGAAATCAGCAGAACTATCATCAAAAAGAAAATGAGATTTTGTCTGGAGGTTGCCCAAGGAAGTTGTAGACGCCCCGTCCCTGGAAGTGTTTAAGGCCAGGCTGGATGAGGCTTTGAGCAACCTGGTCTAATGGAAGGTGTCCCTGCTCATGGCAGGGGGGTTGGAACTAGATGATCTTTAAGGTCCCTCCCAACCCAAACCATTCTATGATTCTATGAAAAGTTTGGGAAATTCCCCAGGAAAAATAAAATCCATGCACAATTAAATAACGGGGGCGGGGAGGACGACGACATGACACACATACAGATAGTAACAAACTAAAATCTGAGCTTGCCATCTACAGCTATAGTGACAAAAATACAGTTAAAATATTGGATGAGATTCAATTTGATCAAGACCGATGCATATTGCAGTAGTGCTTTGGGGCTCTAAGTAAGATTAATTCCCTGTTTTACTAGATCTTTTTCATACATTACCACCTCAGCATCATCTGGCCCATGCCAAAATGTTATTTCAGTTTACAATGGCTATGTTACTACTATAATATAATTGATTCGGTGGCATTATGCCAAAGACAAAGTGCTGTCATTTGCAGAAGTAAACAAAGTGAAAAAAATAGTTCCCTTTTTGAACATTTTTCAATTAACTGTAGTAAATGTAGGGGTTTCTTGGTTGTTCTACTGGCAGGAAACCCAAGCAGAAATAAGGGAGGTGGGGCTCTGCAGCATCCTTTAATTGCAAAACTTGCCTCTTGCCTCTTACTACCTGCATAGTAAAATGAAAACTTGTATATAAGCAGGGTAACTCTTTGATAACTTAACCAAGCCACGTTGTCTTATGATGGGTTTAAAGATCTTTTGACTCTTGCCTAGGTCAGCAAGGAAGAGAAATTTCTGAGAAACAGCAGCAAAAGAAAGGAGCTGTTAACACAGGCTCAGCAAAGCTAGGGTTATTTACTATTGACTTAATCATGATTTAAATAATTTATTTTAATTGCTTGACTCGAAATCGCTCCATCTTTTCATAGCTTCACAACCCATATGCACATCTTTCAGTCATGGCCTGACCTTTTCTATTCCAGCTATTTAATTAACACAGTGTAATATTCTGTGTGAATTATTCTTGTTTGCAGGATATGGTACCATTTAAATTTGTTAATGTAAAGGAGCAGTGCATTGTTGATAAACTGTTGGAAACCAAATTAGCTTTATCTTGCAGCTAGCTGATTGCATTATTTCACTCATGGGTATAATACTTCTCTAAATATGCTAATTTCACTCTTTTCTCCGTGTGGTGACATTTTTACTGTTCTCATTACTGACATTTGTAATATTTGGGGTGGGGAAATCTTTTCTTGCTTTAACCTCATTATAATGTAGCTAAGGAGATTTGAATATTATCAGATGAAGTGCACATATATTCAGGCAAGTGGAAAGGTTATTTTGTCTCCTGGTCCAGAACTTTCATACCTATAGCACGACTTGCATGGACATAATGGCACCTAGACCTGCAGAAGCCCATCCAGTTACTAATTGCCTGACCACGATAGCATATCCATTGGTAGGTGCCTCCATTTCAAACCTAAAAGCTCTCAAGGTGATTGTGTCTCTGTGTTCTTGCCTATCTGCCTGTATCCAGCCTAAAACCTTCTGGAATTCATCTTAGGAAGAGTTGGTGGCCTTGAGCTCTGATAGACTAGTAGTGATGGATAAAAGTTACATGGCTGAAGCTGTTACTGCTGCCAAATGCTCATCCCATCCCTGAGGGAGGACTGGCTCGTCCGCTTACAAGTTGGCACCTAGACTGTGCTGATTTAAGCCTGGCATATTACGATATACTGAAGGCTTTGACAGGTTTGTTATAACCTTGAGGCATCTGGAGAGTCTAATTCAGCTTAAACACACCTTTTGTAATGGTTGAGCTGAGCAGTCAAGGACAGCATCCCTCCCATGGTGCGACCCCCAGTTCCTGGCACATTGGGAAGTGCCGTTTGCTCTACCCCGGTCACCAGGTTTTTGACAGACTTGCTCTCCATGTGACTGTCTTCAGAAAGATTCAATGAACTTCAGCATCTCCTTGTTTCTTATGCCTCTCTCACAACATCTGCTAGCATCGTGTACAGTCTTGTACTTTCTTGTGTCAACTCCAGTCTTGCAATCTGACAAGCAGCAACTGGTTGCATACCCTACAAAGGCTAGAAACGTTTTAGCACAAAATGGGCAGGACCCAAAATTTATTCAAAGATTCAAAAGTGGCATTTAAGCCAATTCTGAATATTCCCTCCAGCCTCCAAAAAGAGGCCTGTTTTCCAGGGATTTCCCTCAACTTCTAGACTTCCACTGGAGTTGTAACAATGTCATTTCAGAGCTGCCATAAACAGCACTAGTGTAGCAGGGAGCTGTAGTGGTTCTCTTCTTTACACCCCCTGTCTTGAACAACAACTTTGAAGGTGAGCCTGAGAGGTGTGAGCAAATCCCATTCTTCCCTCATCAACTTTTGACATCTCTTTCTTTTTCGTTACTTAGGAACAGGTTGTTCAGGATCTGCTCTGTTTAGGGTTTGGTTTGGGCACCTTCCAATCTGTGTATTTTGTACCTTTCAGCATCTTTTCTCACCTTTTTTTTTTTTTTTCTTTTAAGAGGTAGGTAGACTTCCAGCTCTGACATCATACAGTGATTTCCTTGTATTTCAGCAGGGGAATGGTTTTACAGTGCTTCCTTTTTTCTAGTATCAACAAGAAATGAAAATACAGACATGTTTTCAGCTTATGAAAGCTGAACAGTTTTATCCTTAAATTCAAATATCAGTGTTTTCCAGCAGGCAGTAATTTATACTGCTTGATTGCAAGCTGCGTATATCCGCATTGCAAAGTGACCATTGTAGTGGAGATGATTCTAAAGTTTGGTGAGCAGAGCCCATTGCAACATCCTTTAGGGAGATGCAGGTTCGCTCCATTTTCTTGTGGAGTCTGCCTTTGTGGTTGGCCAATGAAAGACATGTCACCAGATTCCCTGTAGACCACACTGTAGGTTCTTCGCTGTCACTGTAGCTCTTAAAAGTAATATGCAAAAGTCACACCTGACTTGGGCTTTGAATCTATTTAAAGTATTTTCCTGCTTGTTCTGCCATTCATCACCTGCTTAATGATGAACATGTAGGTGATGATTGTATCTTTTTTGAGGTGGAGATGGAAGCTGCATGATGTCTTTCATCCAAGCGTATTTTGATGGATACTTCCCAACCTCACTTAGCTCAGAGTCTTAGGTATTTTAGGGAGGTTGGAGCTCCAACCTCAGCAGACCATGGTCCTTATGTTCTTTCTTTCATTTTATTCAGGGCTGCCATATGCAAGTAACTGCAAACAACATCAAAAGAGTATTTTGCACCCCAAAGTTGTATTGGGGAAACCCAGTTTCAAAGACTGATATTTTCTTGTATTGAAAACCTGAGAATGGTGGAAATGAACTGAGACAAACAAGGATGATAGGCTTGAGTTGGGAATACAGGATTAAAATCTCCACCTGTCTCTTTGGGCTAGGACTGCCTCAGTGCAGATCTTACCGTCTCTGATGCCAGCAGGTCATATTGCTCTGGTATTGGTCTGTCCATTGTGTCTCTGGTGAATGTGTTTCTAATTTCTGATCAGACTTTGTCATTGTTCTCTTGTTGTCTTACATTGAAGCAGCAAGGAGTAATTTAATTATTGCTCTGATATAATTAATGATGTAGGCATTAGGGAGCGTGTTTCTGTTGGTCTGGCTAGTCACACTTGGCTGTCATACAACAGGTATGCCATGTGCTCACCAAATGAGTCTTCTGAAGACCTTGTCTGGGTAGGTGTTTGGGATCAGATCCTTTCAAAGACATGACGTTCACAAAATGTTGTTTGTCTGTTTTGAAATGTGATTCTACCATAGAAGAGGCTAAATTGATTATTTCTGTGTCTGTGCTTTTCTGAACAGGAGCATATATGGTTTAAGATTAAATTATTCTATGCTTTGTGATCACAGACACCGTGCGATTCTTGGGAGCAGATACGACAGCGAGAGATTTTGATTTCTGTTAGAGTATTTCAACGAGAGCAATGGTAAGGCAGTTTGGATGCCTTGGTATAAAAGTGCAGCTTTAACCTTTTGCAGTTTTATTGTTTTGCTAATGTTCAGGGGGTTATCTTAAATTTCTAAGTACCATGTGCTTTTGAAGTCTGGACATAGAAGACATTATTGCTTCTGATTGTAATACTGAATTAGTCAATGGTTGAGGTAGTGACATTAATGTTTAAAAGGAATCTGAAAATATCGAAACTCCTCTACTGAAAGGACTTTTCCAGATATACTAATAGGTTGACAAATACCGCATTTTGGTAAATTTTGCATGTTGCTAGAAGCTTCCACAGTTCAAAGCAACAGCGCTGTCATGGTTTCTTCAAAAATTAAAGGTCACCTTCAGTCTCCAGAAAAGTAGGTGCAGCTGATGAGAACAAGAGTTCATATACATCTGAGTAGAGATTTAGGCCTGCGGAGTCCTTGATCTTTTCTGATATTTAGCTCTTGGTGTTTACAGATAAAGAAACTTTGCAGGCAGCAGTTATTTGAAAAAGAAAAGAGAAAGAAAAATCTCTGGAGGGAAGATGGTAAAGATATGTTGACACCACTAACAGCAGCTTGTTGTATTATGAAGTTGTGAAAGATAAGCTTCTGTGTACCAAGGCTGTGCTTTTTCATTAAAAAAAGTTTGTTTTATGTTTAATATTTATATTAAAACGCAGAACTAACATTAATGAAATGTTGAGGTTGAAAATTAAATTAGAAGAACTTGGTAGTTCACATTTTGGTGAGCTGTATTAGGTCAAATGTATCCTAAGCTCTACATTATATCCAAGCAAGATTTTACATTCTTTATATGAACCCCAAGATTGAAAACATGCACTGTTAACAGTTTTTCACAGACAAATTTAATACTGCTGTGTGAGAACCTTTATAAAGATAAATAGCAACATGAAACAAAGGTTAAACTCTCTTCTGCTTGTTTTACCCATGCTGAAAGAAATTGAATGTTGTAAACAGGTGGAATAATAGCCATGTGTTTTTTTAATATTCCTATATTAATGGCAATCCCAGAGTCTAATACCCTGATTGTGCCCTTCAGAAACCATTTTTGAGGTTCACATGATGGATCTCTCTGGTTTCTTTCAATTCAATAATTTATGTAAATCAAAAATACTTCTTTTATTCTTTTGAAGTATAATTTCATTCTGACAATTATACCTCTAATTGACTCAGTCATTAATCATAATTTATATCCTATGTATTATAATAATGAACAAGAGTCTAATAACTTTCATCATAACCCCTTTCATCATAACCCCTTTGCAGATCAAATTCAAAAGGCTCAGTTGTAACATTGACTATTACAGTGGCTTATGGGAAAAACTTATTTTACTGTTGACTATTATTGACTATTTACTACAATAGCTCATGGGAAAATAGTGTATTTTAGATTTAGATTCTTTTGCTGCTGTCATTTTGAAGTTCTTGTCAGTCAAGCTTCATAGGACAAAAATGAAGTCATAAATGGTTACAGTTTCTGACAGTGAATTTCATACAGTCCATTCATCAATTTAAGAGCAGTGCATTCATACATACTACTAACAATGTACAGAAAAAGAAATAAGAAATAAACTTTACTTACAACATGAACAAATTATTTTTTTTTTCTTAGAAATACACTTCCTTGATGTGCCAGTTCCCTTACCTTCAATCATGATGTTATATTAGTATTAAGTTTTGTATTAAATTTCCCTTCTATTAGGGAATGTGAGAAATGTGTATCAGGGTGGGTGGGGTATTGGGAATGAATGGCTTTGCCCCTAAATTTCCTCAGCAGCAGGTCGGTGTAATTTACACCCCAGACAGACAGAAAGGTGGAACTGTAGCAGCCTGGCTTAAGGAAGAGCAGTCTCTCCTGTTGGAGAAACTCTTTTATATCCTGATGGAAGGTTTTGGTCAAAGACTATAGTCTTTTATTTCAAAAGAAAATGAAATGCCATTTATCTGACAAGTGCTGCAGTTTGATTATGTTTCTCTTTGCTTTCAGCAATTTTCAGCAATAAGTGTACCAATTTGATGGAGGTACATATACTGTGACTTCTGTCAGTTGTACATATCCTAATTTTCCAGGTTTTGGGGAGATGAGAGGGGAAGGGGCTATTTCAAATGGCAGAAGATGCAGGCAGGAGCTGTAAGGACTAGGAGGGAGAGGAAAGCATTTCTTCTACAAGAGGAGACCTGAGGAGCTGGAGTCATTCAACATTCAGCTAGTTAGCTGCAAACCAACACAATTGCTTTCTAAAAGTGCACTGCGGGATGGGAGGAGAAAAGACAACAGGCAGAAGCTGGCCAGTGGTTCAGGAAGAGCTTTCTAGGAAGAGCCCTAGGGGATTGAGGAAGGAATTTCATAAATGTATGCTTGAGATGATATGCTGTCATCTAGAGCAGGGGCGGGAAGTCCCTGCCAGTGCTGTATTTTGGGCTCACCCTCTTACTCCAACCCTAAGAAGTCTGGCAGCTGTTTCCTTTTCTTTATCGGAAGGACAGTTTGAGGTTTGAGGGTATAGCCCACACTCTGATCTTACTTCATGTCTTGAGTCACTCAGACTTACTGTAAGAACAACTGTAAGATGCTCGGCCCTGCTACAGCAGGACTGGAAAGTGAGTGCAAATACACATTCCTGTTTTGGCCTCTTTCTTTCCTTTAGTTCCCCTCCTTCTGCAGTAGCAGATGCAGAGGGCAAGGAAGGGTGTTGATTTCAGGCTACCAGAGTAAGCTTCAGGTTCCAGTCTTACCAGTGCAGTGATGTATTTGACTGGTTTGTCCTGGGAGTCTCCGTGCAACTGCTAACTATCCTTCAGTAGCCAGAATACCTATGCAAATCTAGGTTAGATGCCCCCTGGCTATGCTGCATCTGCAATATTGACATTCCTGGAGTCAGAAATAATAGTAGTAACAACAGTAACTTGTCTAGAAGTAATACCTGGTGTTCGTGCACTATGTCCTGAAAACTACTCATGTATATTTAGATGATGTTTGCTCAGAGTAGGCTGATTACAGTGCATAACTTTGTAACCACATGCAGATTATTTAATGTTGTTTTTTAATTTACAGAGTTAATGTACTGTGAAATCATTAAGTCTGACCTCCAAACCAAGTCACTTCTCTTTGTTTTAGGGAAT